AGAGAGAGAGAGAGAGAGAGAGAGAGAGAGAGAGAGAGAGAGAGAGAAAAGTGACTGGAGAGAGAGAGAGAGAGAAAAGTGACTGGAGAAATGGCTCAGCGTGGAGGATATTTTCTGCTCTTGCAGAGGACCAGTTCAGTTCCCAGCACACCCATCAGGTGGCTCACAACCAGTTCCTGGGGTCAGATGCCCCCGGCTACCCTCTGTAGGCACCAGGCACATATGCACACGCGTGCACACACACACACACACACACACAATTTTACAAGTGAAAAAGAAGGGCTGGAGAGATGGCTCAGAGGCTAGGAGCACTAGTTGTTAGTGGACCCAGGTTTGGTTCTCAGCACTCATGTGGTGGCTCACAGTCACTGTACCTCTAGTTCCAGGAGATCCTTTCTCCTCTTCTGGATTCCTGGGGCACCAATAGGCAGGCAAACACACATATACACGAGATTAAAAGATTCTTAGGAAAACAAGCCAAAATATCCTTTAAAAAAGAAAGAAGCCTTGGAGGCTAAGGAGATGACTCAGTTGGTGAAGTGCTTGCCAAGTAAGAACGAGCAACTGAGTTTGTTTGCAGAACCTGTGTGGCACACAGGTTGTGGTGGTGCACACCTGTACTCCTAGTGCTGAGGAAACAGAGACAGGCGGATCCCTGGGCTCACTAGCCCATCAGTCTAGATGAAGCGGCAAGGCCTAGGCTAATGAAATTCAGGATAGCATCTGAAGAAGAGCTGAGGTTGGCCTCTGGCATCCATATGCACCTTCACATATATGTGTACCCACACATATACAATCAGAAGAAAATTTCTTCACTATGACACATTCTCAGCATACGGTTTTCAAAAAAGAATAATTTTTCTTTTTTTAATTTTTTGAGTCAGGGTCTCACTATGTAGCCCTGCCTTTGGAATGCTGGGATTAAAGGCATGCATCCCCTGCCTGGCTGCTTCTTTGTTTTGAAGATAGTGTCACATTAGGGAGACTAAGTTGCCCTCAAACGCCAGAGATGTGCTTCTGTCTCCTGAATGCTGGGACTAAAGAAATGTATCACCACACCTGGCTTTTAATTAACTTTTGGTTTGGTTTTTGGAAACAGGTTCTCTCTATGCAGCCCAAGCTGATCTTGAACTCACCGTATAACCCAGCTGGACTCAATGATCCTCCTGCCTCAGTCTCAGAGGTATTGAGTGCTAAGATCACAAATAAGCACCACAATGCATGGCTAAGAATAAGATTTTAATAGCTAAAATACTAAAGTGAAATCAAAAGACAGCCAGGCAGTGGTGGCGCACGCCTTTAATCCCAGCACTTGGGAGGCAGAGGTAGGCAGATCTCTGTGAGTTTGAGACCAGCCTGGTCTACAAAAGCTAGATCCAGGACAGGCTCCAAAGCTACAGAGAAACCCTGTCTCAAAAAGCCAAAAAAACCAAACCAAACAAAACAAAAAAAGAAATCAAAAGACAACACTATATGAAAATATAAACTTATTCGGTTTGAGACAGTCTGATATATTCTGTAATAACTCGCCAAATCAGTAACAGTTCTCTGAGGAGTGAGGTTGCACATATTCTATAAAAAGTTGATATTTCTATTTTGTGAGATGTCTATTTATAACCTTTGTCCTTTTCTTTCTTTTTCAAGTGACTTTTGGAGCTATTTATATTTTGAGAATAAGATTTTTATTGTTTTTGCTGTTCTTGAGATGGAACACATGCCACGAGGCCTGGCTTTGTAAACAGGAAAAGCAAAAATATGGCATTGCATACCAAACAAATTATCTGTTAGATAACATGTAACACACCTTTGATCCCTACAGTTATAAGATAGGTGTAGATTTGAGTTCCAGGCTTACATAGTGAGAATCCCCACCTCAAAAAACATAAGATGAGATGGAGAGATGGCTCAGAGGTTAAGAGCATTGATTGCTCTTTCAGAGATCAGTGGTTCAATTCCCAGCATTCACAGGGCAGCTTAGAGCTCTCTCTAACTCCAGTTCCAGGGAATCCAAAAGCCTTACACAGACATACAAGTAAGCAAAACACCAAATGCACATAAAAAATAGAAAAGAATCATTAAAAGAAAAAGCAATAAAACAAGCAAACTAAATATATATTATAGATGCCGTAATGTAGATGTATACAGTGGGTCTTAAAAAATTAAAAATGGGCTGGGTGGTGGTGGCGCAGGCAGGCAGATCTCTGTGAGTTCGAGGCCAGCCTGGTCTTCAGAGTGAGTTCCAGCTTTAGCCATACAGAGAGTCCCTGTCTTTTATTTTTCTTGTGTTTATGTAGGTGGGCAAACATGTGTTGACTTCCTCCTTCTACCATGTGGGTTCTGGGGGTTGAAATGAAGTTGTCAGGCTTGGTGGCAAGCGCCTTTACCCACAGAGCCATCTGCTGGTCCTTAGGTTTTATGGGAACATCTTCAAACTTAGAGGCAGGTCAATTATGAAGAACAAGCAGTTAGACACAAAATTTATGATTGTTGCCATGTACATAGTTTAGGGGTTGAGTCATCGTGATTATGAGCTCGAGGCATCCTGGGCTACACAGTGACTTCCAGGTCAGCCCTGGGCAAGACTCTGTCTCAATATTCTCCACAAAGAGAAAAATTTTAAAATACTCTCAGTATTTCATCTGTAGAATAAGTTTATTAATAACTTAAAAAAATTCCTAATTGGGTCAGGCACGGTTGTGCAGGCCTTTATTCCCAGCTTTCAGAAGTCAAAGGTAGAAGGATCTCTGTGGATTTGACAACATCCTGGTCTACATATGGAGTTCCAGTTCAGCCAGGGCTGCACAGTGAGTCTCTATCTGAAGAAAACAAAAAGTCAACAAAAGCAAGAGTCTTCTAATTACCATGTTTTCTTGTTTCTGACTACTCATAACTTAGTATTTAGCCCATGCCCAATCATTCAAAACAAAACAAAACCAAGGCAACTCTTGACAAGTACACACCTACGTTCTAGGGTATGTAGTTTTTTGAGTGCCTCTTTCTCTTCTACCCTTTGTGCTTTGAATCCAGATTAAAATGTTCTTTATTAATTCCCAACTCTGCTTCACAAAAACCAAACCAAACCAAACAAACCAGCAAACCCTGAATCCTAGGCAGACAGGACAACATGTATGCACAATCCTAGCTTACTCAGCAGACTAAGGCGGGAGGAACGGAATGTCAAGGCCAGCCCTGCAATGAGACCCCATTCCAAAATAAAACAAACACAAACCCCCTTCCACCTTCCATAACAGAATCTTTTAACTTACAAAATCATTACATAACTAACACACGAGAGAGGACGAGCCCAGTGAATTAGAAAGTGGGCTGACACTTTCTAAGGCAGTGAACTAAGTGGGAAGTTGCTAAGTGTTTTCTACACAGAATCAGACAGTATTTCGTCCTCGCCAGTCAGTGTTTTAGTCGCACTCGGTTTTGTTTTCAATGACCTGTGAGAAGAGAGCGAGCCACTCTCAGGTCACGAGGCGTACACAAACAGGCCGTGAGAACTCCAGCCTACTAGTCAATGTCTGCATTTCTGTCACTGCTTACGTTCATCCACGCCATCACCTACTTGGACATAGTCAATCCCAGGGCTTTCATTTGTAGATGGTCCGAGAGCCCCTTCAGCACATAACCTTTCACCCAGACAAAATTTTTTCCAGCCTTCTTCATCTTCAGATTTTGGCTGAAAGAAAAGAAAATTACTTATTTCTATTTATTTATTTTTATACTGATCATCAAAAAAGAAGTGAGGCTAAAGATGTCACTGAAGGAAACTTCATATGCAAGGAATAAACAAATAAAAATTTTGGCTCATTTTCAAAAAAACAAAAAAGAAAAAGAAAAAGAAAGGAAACTGAGGGTTCCCTATATCTTGATTACCCCAACTCAAAGACATGGTGCTAGCTATGGGCATAACTGTGTACACTCCAGACCCCAACGCTGGGACTAACTGTGAGAGCTGTAGGCTGTGATTGCCATTGGAGATGTGACCTTTAAAGCTGCAATAGTGAACTCTAACTTGACGTTCTCTTTTCCAAAAACCCAAACCAATTCTATTATTCATCCACGCGTGTACATGTCAGAGAACACCTTGAAAGAGTCAGTTCTTTCCTTTCACTATGTGGGTCCTGAAAATTAAACACTGGGTCATCAATTGCCTTCACAAACTGAGCCATCTCATTGGTCCCTGCCTGGTCTATTTATAAGGGGGAATTTGGATCATAAAGAATACATTTTTGGGGCTGGAGAGATGGCTTAGCAGTTAAGAGCACCAGCTGCTCTTCCAGAGGTCTTGAGTTCAATTCCCTGCAACCATGTGGTGGCTCACAACCATCCGTAATGAGATCTGTGTGTTCTCTTCTGGCCTGCAGGCAGAAATGCAGACAGAACACTGTATATACAATAAATAAATAAATCTTAAAAAAAAGGAGTACATTTTCTTCTCTTTCAGAAGAAAAAATCTCTTTCACCACTTTCTTAGATGTGTGATTCTCTAGAAGATTAGAGAAAATTGCCTAGAACAATGTATTCATCTCTTCCCCAATTCTAATCTTTAACTGCTAATATTTTAGGAGGCTAATTAATTATATCTAAGTTGCTATGATACAGAAAGAAATATCTCCCAATATGAACCACAGGCTTCACTATTACACAGGTTACTGTGAAGCAGTATAAATAATATGCTCACTGCATGACAACAATATCTCACCATGAAAATCTAATAATCCCCCCTTCAATGTTTTTAGATCCTGAAAATGTATTTACATTCTAAAAAAAAGCAACAGAATACTTAGAAGCCTGGAGAGGCCACACAGTCACCTTTTGTCAACCTAAATGAAAAAAAATAGAGAGATGCCCGCACGGCAGCACATGCCTATCCCAGCACTCAGGAGGTAGAGGCCTGAGGATTCCAAGTTTAAGGCCAGGCTGAGCTGCATTAGCAAAACTTGTTTTAAGAAATCAAGGGCTAGGGATAAGAACTCCATAGCATATGCACGGCCCTGAGTTCAATCCCTAGCACTGCAAGGAAAACTAAACACATAGAAAGCCATAGGAGTACTTAGGGAGCTGGAGGAAAGGACCACAGCAAACTCTGGAGAAGAAGTCTGAGGGCAAACAAAGTGCAGCTGGACAGTCCGGCAGACGCTGTGTTTACTCGCTGTTTGGAGAGGAGATTATCCTATAAGCCCGGGCTGACCTTTAAATTACTCTTGCTGGCCTCAGACTTGTGATCCTCCAGCTTCAGCCTCCAGAGTGCTGGGATTTAGGAGGTGCCACTACTCCTGACTCAGAAGTCCTTTATAAGGTGGTGGTGGTCTTGTGTAAGACTGTAGTTTGACAGTCTTTTATGGATATTAGTAGGCTACAATCCTAAGGACACAATCTGACTTCTCAGTCTTACTTATTATTTTGTCAGAACTGATACAGCAGTAATACTCTATTTTGTTCCTGACGACTTTCACATATCCTAAGTCTCTCAAGAGAAGGTGAATTCAAACAGTCATGGGGCAGGCTTGGTGGTGCATGCCTTTAATTCCAGTACTCCAGAGGCAGAAGCAGGCAAACCCCTTGTGTTTAAGGTTGGCCTGGTCTACATAATGAGTTCCACACCAGCTGGGGCAAGGTAGTGGGACCCTCTCTCAAAATACTAAACACAAAACCGAAACATGAACTGACTCGAACTACTACTGTAACAAAGTGATATATGTACATATTGGCACAGGAAGGAAACTAAAAATAATATAGACTAACCATTTAACTCTTTAAAGACTAGAATATGGATTATTTCACACAGGCACATACTGGACGACGTAAGCTGAGAAACTCACATACCATTGTCACGTTGCTATCCAACTGCTGAGATTTCCAGTGATGTCTATGCTTGTTCACACTCTACAGGAAGGAAAGTTAATGATCTTCAGAGAATGAAAAACTAAAAAGAAACAAGTTTTTCTACAAAACTTCAACTACCCTAAAATTTAAAAAATACATTAATGCCAAATATATTCTAGTAGTTAGAATATATTTGGTAATTAATTCATAAATACTTGGGTATTCATAATTTTTTCAATTACAGTCTAAGAACAGAAATACATCTGAAGGAGGTTTAATTTGACTGAAGGGGACACTTGCCTGTCGAACAGCTGAGAACTGGACCACTTGCTGCTGCTGCCACTGAAGTGTTGGAGAATAACCTTCTGGGGCAGGCTGGCACCCTGAAAGCTGGAAATCAGTTCACAGATGTTAGGCTGTTTCAGTGCTGTAACTAAAATCTACGCCTATGCAGAGTAAGAGCAAAATCAAGATGAAGAGTAAATATGTTTTAGTGAATGATAAGATTATTTAAGAGAATGAAGGTACATTTTATAGGAGCATAAAGGCAGGTAGTTCACTTTGCATCTATGAACCAGTTAATAAAAGAGATCTTTTGGGGCTGGAGAGATGGCTCAGTGGCTAAGAGCATTGACTGTTCTTCCAAAGGTTCCAGGTTTAATCCCCAGTACCCATATTACAGTGACAACTGTCTGCAGCTCCAGTTCCAGGGGATCTGATGCCCTCATACAGACAGGCATACAAGCAGGTAAAACACCAATGCATATTAATAAAAATAATGAAATCATTTTTTTAAAAAAGAGATTCTTTGTCATTTTACTTAGAAAATTATGGGCTGAATGTTGGAGGTGAAGTTCTTATGAAATATGAAGGATATGAATCTAAAGGATTATAACTTAATTCTATTTTTCTATAATAGATGGGAGAAACAAGAGAGAATAAAGAATTTTGAAATGGTCAAAATGTATCCCAAAACTCAAAGATAGTTGACTTGAAGAGATCTACATTTCTTTAAACTTTATTTTTTTGGGGGGGGGGTAGGGGTGGTCATGGTGACGGCATCATGACCCCGGGAGTTCTCAAACAAAGTGGTTAAACACCCTATGTGCCTAACCTTACTCTTGTTTTCCAAAACAGCACACAGATCCAGGCATCGTCTTCTAATAAAACAGTGGGGTAAGTTTGAAAAAAGCTAAGTTTACATGAAATCATGTGCCATCAAGTAAAAATTTGTGAAGCTATGTAAAACCTTATAGTGCCTGAATTAAAGCATCCTAGTAATTATAAACATTAGAGGAGTTACCTCAAACACAAAATATTTACCAAAAACCTTCCAGAAAACCCCCAAAATTTGACCTCAGCAACCGCCTACCCTCCACCCCCATTTTTCCGAGATAAGGTCCCTCCATGGCCTTGGTTGTCCTGGAAATCACTATGTAGACTGGGCTAGCCTTGAACTTCATAGAGGTCTGCCAGTCTGTCTCCCTAGTGCTGAGATTTTTAACTAAAAAGTTTCATTTACTTTGTGCGCATGTTTTGTCTGCATGCATGTCTGTGTACTACGTGCAGGCCTGGTACCTGAAGGGGTGAAAGGAGAGCATCAGATCCCCCGGAACTAGAGCTTAGTGATAGTAGTGAGTAGTGACGTGGGTGCTGGGGATTGAACCTGCGTCCTCTGGAAGGACATCCTGTGCTTTTAACCACTGTGCCGTCTTTCCAGTCCTGCAGTCATTTTATTAATTGAGTGCTGTTTATTTTCTTCATGCAATGACCAGTTGGTGTAATTATTTGGTTATTTTCTGTGTCCATTAGGAGACTGTTACTGTACAGGCACAGGTGACTTCCCTCGTTCTTTCCTTCTGAGATGAGGGTCTTATACAGTCCAGGCTAGCCTGAAACCCTCTATTTAACAGAAAATTACCTAGACCTCCCAACACTCTTGTCTCTGCCTCCAAGTGCTAAGATTACAAGTGTTCACCAACATGCCTGTTCTGTAGACACCTTTTCTCTATTATCTTCTGCTGTGTTCCTAGTATCCAGAGCAACCCAATTGCTTAATAAAAGGTGTGCAGGATAAGCAAATGAATAATGACCAGAGTGTGCATGGAAATAATAGAAAGATGCTATGACATTTGTGTTTCCATTCTGAGAAAATACCAGGTCAAATGGAGAATGTGCATCAAGCACCAGTTTGGCTATAAAGGTATAGCCAGTAAAAAATTCCTTCATATTTTACTTATAAAGGTCAACATTAGCAAGCAATTGAAGTATTTTTTTCGGGGTGTGTGTATGTAATCTTTTAAGTGACACACACATATTTACACTTTCAGAGGGGTCTCATAAGGCAGGCTGGCATCCAAATCAAAATTTGTTAGCCTGCAAATGGTGTCTAAGTTCGTAGGGAGCAATTTAACCTTACCCTACGCACCATAATTAATATTCTTTTCTTTTTCCCCTTTTCTTTTTCTGGTTTTGCGAGACAGGTTTCTTTGTGAAGCCTTAACTGTCCTGGAACTAGCTCTGCACACCAGGCTGGCCTTGAACTCCCAAATGCTGGGATTAAAGATGTGCACCACCACTGTCAGGCCATAACTGATTTTCTTGATAAGATAGAAAAGCTTCAGTCATTTGTTTGTGTGTGGTTAGAAGAGTCCCAGTTGGTTAGTCAAACTCACAGAAATATTCACACTTTGCTTCCTCTTCAACTTCTTTGGATCAATTTGGGCTACCACAACATCTGGACACTGAGCCGCTTCGATCCTACAAGCAGTACATGTGTGAAACTTATTATTGCACTCTGCTCGTGTCTTGTGTGTAGTGCAACAGATGCATGTTACTTCATTATGAAATCGCAAATAAAATTCAGACTCCCAATGAAATAACAAAACGCCTGACACTGCCTAGATTAAAAGCAACGAGATTTAAGAGCACACCTTTTAACGTGCAACCAAGTTCAAGACATGTTTGCCCACGGTAGGTCGTATATACAGGGATCTTAAACTTCCCAGACCTCCCAAGACAGGAACCCAAACAGAGGAGGGACCGACTCTGTTGCATACTGCGGGTCAAGCGCGACACCAGGTCTACGCCCACTAGCACAGGGCAACATCACTCACTGCACCCTTCTCAGGTATTCCTGCGGCGTCCTGGGGGGCACCGAGGGATCGAAACCTTCCGTCAAGTCACAGGGCTCCACAGGTAACAACCGTGGCATCAACTCTTCCACCGCAGACTCGGCCTGAACCCACGCCATGGTGGTCAAACCCGTCAAGCCCTATTGCGCCTGCGCTCAGCCGGTACACGGCGCAGGAGCTCCGGCGACCTCCGGGGGCGCGGACGGGCCTATGGGGGCGGAACCGCGCAAACCTGCTGGTTGCATCAAGTTTATGGCTCCGGCGGTGAAATGAAGCGTGCGCATATAGTTCCTCACGGAAGTGGTTCTGAAAGAATTTCTAGTTTTTTTTTTTTTTGTTTTTTTTTTTAAACCTAATTCCATTTTCTCTTCTGAAGCTTGGGTAGGGAGCTGGGACTGAAGATGAACTTTTATAGCATTGAATAGTTGCTAAATTAATGCTGTACTGATCATTTTTAGAGTTCTAAAGAATTCAACCACTGATTGAAGCTCATTACATCTAAATCTTACAATCCTTTGACGAGGGTGGTGCCTTTTTGGCTTTGCGGGGGAAGAAATTGACAGAAAATGGATGGATGGAGAGCTTAATTTTTATTTTACTTTTTCGGAGAGCATCTTAGTGGTGTGAAGCTCATGCTATTCTCGAACCTATTAGGTTGCTCAAGTAGTCCTACAATCTGTAGCGATTCTCCGGCCTCCGCTTCCTTAGTCCTGGAATTATATGCATGAGCCAAATATCCCACGTGGATAGTTTTTAGGGTTTTGAGATTGTGCCTCTTCTGTAGTCCAGAAGGGTCTATGATTTGCAATGTAAATTGAGCTGGCCTGTCTTTTTACCTTGACTCTGGAGATTTCAGGCACAAGCCGCCACCACCACCTTAGAGAGACATTTAAAAAGTGTAAAATGACGGTATTCGTGGTTTTGCATCTGTCACGTGGATGCGTGCATGTGATAGCAGGTGCGGAGGGCAGAGTATAACTTTGGGGAGTAGGTTCTCCCCTTTCACCTCTGAGTTGTGTGGCAAGCGAGTTTACTGGCTGAGCCATTTCATCGACTCTTAACACACTGACGAAAATTCAAAATTAGAAGGACCTGAGCACTTCTTTGTAGTAAATATTTCAAATATTGTTGGCTAGTGCCTCGTTCTTTCTTCATCTGAACGGATAAGATCTGTCAGAAAAAAAAAAAGCCCGCAGGAATTTTTTTCTATATATTAGAAAGCTGGAAAACAATTATTCAAACAGTAGACACGAAAGGTCCCTCTGGTGGTTAACAGGAAATATTTTCTCTCGTAACTGTATCCCAGTTGTGCATTTACTTTTTCCTTATTTTTTTTTTGTTACCAGTTTTTCTACACAGGGTTTACCTTTAGCAGCTTTGGTGCCTGTCCTGGAACTAGCTCTTATAGACCGGACTGGCCTCGAACTCAGAGATCCTCCTGCCTCTGCCTCCCACTGATGGGATTAAAGGCGTGCGCCACCACCGCCCTATCTCAGCCGAGTATTTTATCCTTAATATGGACCCCCGACTCCCGAACCCTGCAGCTTCGCAGCGGAGCCTTTCCGCCACGTCCTACTCCTTATTACCCGGGTTAGAGCCTTTCCGCCGCTTGCCCCGCCCCTTCCTGAACTATCCCCGCCCTCTGCCTGGGCTAGCGGGACTCCTTCGCTCGCCCCACCCTCTTTATTACCCCCGTTCCGTCCCTTCCGCCACTCATCCCGCCCATTACCACCTGAGCGCCCCGCCCCTTCCGGGACGGTCCCCGCCCCTTGCCTCCTCTCGCCCCGCCCCTCCCCTGCCCGCCCCTCCTCGCCTCCTCCCCTTTGACGTGGCAGAGGCGGCACCAGCCATGTTGTCCAGGCCGAGGCCGTCCTGGAGGCCGGGGGCGGGGCGGTGCCGCCCCTGATTGCGGTGCCACGGCTGCTCCGGGGCGGCGGAGGAGACAGACTTTGCCCGGCGGAGGCTGCGACCGGCGCGGAGCTCGTCGGAAAGTCGGGTGGTAAGGACGGGCGTCGCTGCCACCTCTGCTCCGCCCGGGCTGGGAGGCGGGCAGCGGGTCGGGGTCTTAGGACGGTGTTGACTCTGTCCTCGTTGTCCCCAAGCCTAAGGGCGAGGCGCGCCGGAGGCTGTGTGGCCCAGCGCTGACCCGAGAGCACTGAGCCTGTCACGGCGACCGAGCGTCCTCATCTCCATCTCCAGCCCTCCTAGTTCAGGTGGAAGCCTGGGAGCGGGGTGCAGAAGGGCGGTCCGAGTAGCTGGCCCTGCGCCCACCCGCACCCCCTGTATGACACGCTTTCCCATCCCTGCCTAGGGCTCCCGGGCCCTGGGCCCTCCGGGTTCGCTTCTTGACTTGATCAGGAGTGCTCTAGACTTTGAACCCAGGTGACTACATCATCCGTAATTTCGGCCTTGGGCCTTGGAAAGGTTAAGGAGAAAAGTACCGGGGAAAGCTGATGCCTTGGGCCCGTTTCTAATGCTCGCTTTTCGGAACGGAGCAGTACCGTGCGCTCGGGCATCCATTCTGTCTGTCTGTTTGTGAAAAAGGAAGAGTAAGAATCACAGTAAATGCATAGGTAGACTAGAGGGATGTTGGATTCATCTTCTCACCTCACCTTCTGTCCGGTCCTGTCTTAACATACTCCCACCCTAAGCCGCGGGCAACTAGGTATATTCGCTTAAAGAAATTTAAATATAAATGCATATTAAATTTCTTCTTTCCAGGATCTTCAAAAGTCCACACGGTTTTAATTGTTTCTTAGACCTATAGTATTATTGCTCAAATTTCTCATTTAAATGTGAAGATTGAGGGCCAGAGAAGTTTATTGCCCAAGAGCCTAACATTTGTTACTCAGTTCATTTCATTGAAAATTTTACAACTGGAACTGGGAAGATGGCTCAGAAGTTAAGAGCAATCAGTGGATTGCTCTTCCAGAGGGCCTGTGCAGACAGAGACGCAGGCACACACACACACACACACACACACACACACAGCGGCTTACTACTGTCTTACAACCATCTGTAACTCCATTTGTAGGGCGTCCACTGCTCTCTCCTGGCCTCCACAGGCACTCTGCACACACATGATATACAGATGCACATGCAGGCAAAACACCTATACAAAAAAAGAAATAAAATAAATACATATGTAAAATATTTTCCAACTGAAATGTAGAGAGCAACAATGGTAACAAATAACTAAGGAGCTTAAATTTAGTTGCAATTTGTGTGTTTTTCAATTAAGAATGCATAAGGAGGTTAAAGTTGGAATATAGAAAAAAACAATACTAGGGAAAGCCTTTCAAGATACTATAGGAAAATATTTGCTGTGCTACGTTAAAGTGACATGATGCTTTTGTTCTACCAGGAGAAATTATTAAAATAGTTTTCACTGCTATAAATCTTTGGAAAAATGTGGCATTTCTTTAGGATGGCCTTTTGTATCTTATGTCTTTTTTTTTAAAAGATGAATTTGTTAAATCTGCATTCTAATGATATTTCAGGGTATGTGTGTGTGTGTGTGTGTGTGTGTGTGTGTGTGTGTGTGTGTTTAACTCTGGCAGCCTGGAACTGACAGGAGCTGCATCTGCCTCTGCCTCCCAAGTGCTAGGATTAAAGTTGTGCGCCAACATACCTGGCTGCATTTATATTAGGTAATATAAAATAATGCCTGGCTAATGCTAATACTAGGTAACAAAGTGCTTGCCAAATAATGCCATCACATTAAGGAAGTTTGTGAAAGGGCTTTTGTGCTGGGATTTGTGATTTTCAGCTTGAGCAGGTACTGCTTTGGAAAGTAAGGAAGTGTTGTGCATGGCCGTGTAACTGGACCAAGTGAGAGCAGGTGCGGCCTGCGCAGAAGTTCAGAAGCACAGTGGATGTCATTGAGTGAATGTGATTTTAAAGCAGAGAGGTTGGGAGGAAAACATGGAGGAAAGGGAAATCATGCCCAGATAGCACTCAGGTGACATTTTGCATATCCTAATAAAATACAAGCCTTCGGAGTTAGAATCCAGTCCATAGGCTGGAGAGATGGCTCAGTCAGTAAGAAGAACCTTGGCTGCTCTTCCAGAGGACCAGCGCTTAATCCCCCCTCCCCACGTGGCAGCTCACAACTGTTTATAACTCGAGTTCCAGGGAATCCAACACCCTCACCAAATATAAATGTAGACAAAACAACAATACACATAAAAAGAACAGTAAATCATTTAAGAAAGTATGCTGGATGTAACATGCTTAATAATATCCAGTCGACAACCTGTTGTGGAAACTTAAACCTGACTCTTTTGTAAACACCTTCTGAGTCTTTGACTCTTTCTCACTGAGAGGGAGCTAAGCAGTGGTTCTCAGGACCTCCTTTTAAACATTATCGAGGATCCAAAGAAAAGCATGCTTACTTTTATATCTCTTAAACAAAGAATGCTATGTGTAGTCTGCATTCCAACAGAGAAGGGAAACAGCTGAAGATTTTATTTATGTAACCATTGTCTTACTATGATCTCTGCTCAGTTTCTCTTCTCCGCTTACTTTAGTATTGTTTCTTTGAGACAGGATTTTACTCTGTCAACCTGTAACACAGGTTACAGCAATCCTCCTGTCTCAGCCTCCCCTAGTGCTTGGGTCGCATGTTTGTACCGTCATGCCTCTCTTTGCTGGTTATACCAGATGGTTTTGTTGCTTCTCTTTCCAAGGAGAGAGCCTAGCACATAGGACAGCAGCAGATGGAAAGCTGGGTGGTTTCCAGCAACTTCATCCATTAGTGAGGGATGGCTCACAGAATTAATCCTAGGTTTGACAACACCTAAAACCATTCCAACCTGGTCATATCAGTATTTTTTATTGACTAGAAACTTATTTCTCAGTTTTAGAAGGGATCCCAAATCAAGATGCTATATTGGGTGTCTGGGGAGGCCTGCCCTCTGGTGCACATGTGGCACTTTGCAGTGTGTTCTCACATAGCAGAAAAGGCAGGATAGTTTTCTGCAGTCTTTTAAAAATAAAGCCAAAAGCCCATTCATTTAAAATCAGTTTCATTTCCCACCTTTCTTCTCGGCAACTTTAACATCCATATTCTTTCTTCTGACAGTGTAGGTCCATGATTTTCAATTCTGTTTTTAAACTTAATTGAAAAATATTTTGTGTTATCTGTATGGGTGCTTTGCCCGTGTGAATGTCTGTATACCACTTGTGTGCCTCTTGCCTTCAGATGCCAGAAGAGGATGCCAGATCCCC